TCCCCAAATGGCTGCAACGTCTGGGGCTGGACCAGGTCGAAGCAAGAAGCCTAGAACTCCATCCGGTCCCCCACATGAGTGGCAGTGGCCCGGGCACTTGGGCCATCTGGTGCTGCTTTCCCAGGCGCATTAGCAGAGAGCTAAATTGGAAGTGGAACAGCTGGGACTCGAACCAGCACTAATGAGATTATATTTCTAAACTATTCCCCAATCACTCAGATACTACTGGGCAGAGACCCCATTGGCTGTAGCAAGGTTTTAAAGATGGTAACCATGTGGCTGTGCCATAATTTACAAACAAATCTATTATTGGGCATTTTGGAAGTTTTGGTAGATTTTTTTTTTTTTTTGACAGGCAGAGTTAGACAGTGAGAGAGGGAGACAGAGAGAAAGGTCTTCCTTCCGTTGGTTCACCCAAATGGCCCCAAATGGCCGCTATGGCCAGCACTGTGCTGATCCGAAGCCAGGAGCCAGGTGCTTCCTCCTGGTCTCCCATGCGGGTGACCAAGCACCTGGGCCATCCTCCACTGCCTTCCCGGGCCACAGCAGAGAGCTGGACTGGAAGAGGAGCAACCGGGACAGAATCCGGTGCCCCGACCAGGACTGGAACTTGGAGTGCCAGTGCCGCAAGGCGGAGGATTAGCCTAGTGAGCCATGGCGCCGGCCAGTTTTGGTAGATCTTACACTTCACTCTTGCCATTTTCATTTCTGTTCATGTTGAGTTTTGATTTTAATCTTGATATTGGGAAAATGCCTTTTTTTCTGGTTTGTTGAGGGGCCACAAACATGTGATGCAGGTTCTGCTCCATTTGAGGCGTGTGTTAGGAGTCTGCTGGCTGCCGGCCTGGCCTCTGGCCCAGGTGCCGGGGAGACAAAAGGGATCAAAAGCGTAGCCTTGCACCTCACCCTCCAGGAAGCTGTAGAGGAAAGTTCAGGTCATTGTGCTGCAGAGATAGGGAGTGCTCACAGATGGGAATGGTGATGAAAATGACCTCACAGGGCCCGGCTCTGTGGCATAGCTGGTAAAATAGCCACCTGGAATGCCGGCATCCTATATTGGTGCCTGTTCGTGTCCCGGCTGCTCCTCTTCCCATCCAGCTCCCTGCTAAGCCTGGGAAAAGCAGTGGAAAATAGCCGAAGTGTCTGGGACCCTGTCGCCCGCGTGGGAGACCTAGATGAAGCCAGTTTTTGGCCAGGTTCCACCGTGGCTGTGGCAGCCACTTAGGGGAGTGAACCAGCAGATGGAAGACCTCTCCTTTTGTCTCTCCCTCTCTCTGTTACTCTTTCAAGTAAATAAATAAATCTTAAAAAAAAGAAAAAGAAAAATGACCTCACAGAGGAGGAAGGAAATGTACAGCCTAATTTGAATGAAAAAATAGTTTGCCAGACAGATTGTTAGAATGGGGTCCCAGCTGGTGCCGTGGCTCACTTGATTAAAAATTCCTCTGCCTTCGGCGCTGGCATCCCATATGGATGCCGGGTTCTGTTCCGGTTGCTCCTCTTCCAGTCCAGCTCTGTGCTGTGGCCTGGGAAGGCAGTGGAGGATGGCCCAAGTGCTTGGGCCCTGCACCCGCATGGCAGACCAGGAGGAAGCACCTGGCTCCTGGCTTCAGATCGATACAGCTGTTATATACAGAGCTGAGCGTGGGTGGGTGGAGCCAGCTTTGGGGGCATGGTGCAGAGGTGCGATCCAGGAGGCTGCAGTCAGAAGTTATGCCTGGGGAATTTCGGATTGCAGAGGCTCTCGGGGCAGGAGAGGGTCCCAGGCTACTGGAGCAAGGGAGACTCTGGCAGGGAGTGGCTCAGCCCTCCCATGGGGCTGTGCCAGTGGGGGCCAAGAGGCCTGGGGCCAGGGGGCCTGAGCTCCCAGAGGTTCTGCAGGTTTAGGAAGGCCACGGAGGGCTCTGCTGGAGGGGCAATGGGAGGATGGTGCCTCTCCAGGGAGACCTGTGAGCAGAAAGTGATGGGAGAGGAGACTGTGCCACCTTCCTGAGCATGCTGGGGCCGAAGCCGTGGCTAGAAGTGGGGTGATGAAGCCAGGAAGTGCCTTGAAGCTGACTCGGGCGAGTTGTGTAGAGAGACTGGGCACCTGTGCCTCCCCTCCATGTGATAAGGAGAGCAGCAGCGAGCCCTTCCACACGCTGGGTGTGCACAGCCACAGTTCTCAGCACTTCTCTCGTATCACAGATAACCCTCGTGTTAACCCCAGGGAGTAATATTACTGTACCCACTTTACAGATGAGGAAACTGAGCTACAAGAGAATGAACGGGAGTAGGAGGGGATAGCCCACGAGGTCGAGCCGAGAGCCAGCATCCTGTGCAGTGCGCTGAGTACCTTCACCCTGGTCGGCTCTGTTCTCTGGCGGTCCACTCCGGTGTGATGTGGGCACCATTCTGGTCGTGTGCAGACACTGAGGAACATCCCTTTGATTCGTGTCCTGGCTGCTAGGAGCCTGCACGCTCCCACCACGTGGCCGGCCTCACGGCAGGTAACCACAGGCACCTGCCAGGGTCGCAGCTGCACCTCAAAGAATTCGGGAGATTCTCAAGCAGAGTTTTCCTTATAGGGTCCTCGGCACTATTTTTTGAGACTACCCAAAGAGCGTGCTCCACGGTGTTAAGAGTTCTTGTGCTCGCAAGGCAGTAAGGCCCTGCTTGAAATTGAGGGAGAGCGTGTTCACGGCAGAAGAAAAAAGGATGTCAATTTAGTTTAAAATAAAAAGATTTTTTTTTCAAAGAAAATAGCAAAACCCTAATGGAGGAAATAAAGTGAATAATGAGATAAGACTTCCTGATTGAAAGGCTAATTATAGTAAGAACATCATTTCTTAATATTTAATTTAGCATGATAGACATGGGTGCCTTTATTGATTGAGATAAAAACTTTGCTTTTAATTAGCAGTAGCATAAATGCAGAGGAAGTGTGTTCCTCCATCCCATGACAGTCCAGGGCTTGAACGAGACTGCTCGTGCGCGCGCGCTCTCTCTCTCTCTCCTTGTTCCACCATCCCTTGAGCAGCATCCTCTCTGTGTGGTCCACAGGGGCCCAGCAGGTGTCTGCAATTCGCTCAGCAGGAAGGGAGATGGAGGAGAAGGGGGTGGGCACCAAGGGATGCCCAGGAAGTCTCGCCAGGTGTTTCTGCTCAGGTCTGACTTGGTTACTCCGAGGGAGCTGGGAAATGTAGTCCAGGTTCTCCGAGGCACCGTGCTCAGCTCAGACTCCGGAGTTGTGTTCTACAGAGAGGAAGAGGAAAACCAAGACGGGGGAGATGTACCCATTTCTGGAATAGTATTCGAAACTTGAAAAGTGGAGAATAAAATCGATTCAAAACAATAAGGAGGCAAGCCTGCCCAAGAACATTTAGTGTTACAAAATTTCCTGTAAAATTGCCATCTTTTTTTTTTTTTTTTTTTTGACAGGCAGAGTGGACAGTGAGAGAGAGAGCAGAGAGAAAGGTCTTCCTTTGCCGTTGGTTCACCCTCCAATGGCTGCCGTGGCCAGCACACTACGCTGATCCGAAGCCAGGAGCCAGGTGTTTCTCCTGGTCTCCCTATGGGGTGCAGGGCCCAAGCACTTGGGCCATCCTCCACTGCACTCCCTGGCCATAGCAGAGAGCTGCACTGGAAGAGGAGCAAATGGGACAGAATCCATCTTTTTTTTTTTTTTTTTTAAGATTTTATTTATTTGAGAGGTAGAGTTGCACAGAGAGAGAAAGGTCTTCCATCTGCTGGTTCACTCCCCAAATGGCCACATTGAGCTGATCTGAAGCCAGGGTCCAAGAGCTCCTTTTGGGTCTCCCACGCAGGTGCATGGGCCATCTTCCACTGTTTTCCCAGGCCATTGCAGAGAGCTGAATTGGAAGAGGAGCATCCAGGACTTGAACCAGCGTCCATAAGGGATGCTGGCATGGCAGGTGAAGGCTTAGCCTACCAGCCACAGCACTGGCTTCTCTCTTTTTCTTTGTTAGTGTAACACTTCTGTTTTTAATGCAACACCATCTTTTTAACCATTTTACTGTGGAAACTTTCAAGCCTACACAACAGCAGAAGAGGATGGTGCAAACCCCAGCTCCTTCCTGCCGGGTCAGCCATTACCAGTTTAAAGCTGGGCTCATCTCCGCTGCCCTCTCCTAGGCCCCACTCACCCGTCCCCGGGTCTTTTCCCAGGCAGACCTTGTTCCTGCCTTGCAGATAGTATTTCTGTATGTATCTCTAAAAGGTGAAAGTCTTAAAAAAATTGTGACCTTTTTTATTCTGGGATAATCGTAGGTTCACGTACCGTTGCCAGAAGTAATGCAGAGAGATCCCATACGCTCTTCACTCCGTTTCCCCGGCGGTGACACCGTGCAGTGCCACACATCTCCATCACCACGAGCATCCGCCGTGTTCCGCCTCCTTCCGTTGTCCCTGATGTCCACTGAGCTGTTCTTGCGTAATTTTGTCGTTTCAAGAATGGGAGCAATTGTATAGTGCATAACCTTCCAGTGTTGGCTCATCACCACCGTGTGGCTTCATCCAAGCTGTTGCACATATCAATAGTTTTTTTTTTTTTTTAAGATTTATTTATTTATTTGAAAGTCAGAGTTACACAGGAGAGGAGAGGCAGAGAGAGAGAGAGAGAGGTCTTCCATCTGCTGGTTCATTCCCCCATTGGCCGCAATGGCCGGAGCTGTGCCTATCTGAAGTCAGGAGCCGGGAGCTTCTTCCGGGTCTCTCATGCAGGTGCAGGGGCCCAAGGACTTGGACCATCTTCTGCTGCTTTCCCAGGCCATAGCATAGAGCTGGATCAGGACTCAAACTGGCGCCCATATGGGATGCCAGCGCTGCAGGCAGCAGCTTTACCCGCTACACCACAGCACGTGCCCCTCGACAGTTCTTTCCTTCTTATTGCTGCCTGGTGGTCCGTGGTACGGCCCCATCTCGTAAAGCCCCTTGAAAAGCAGCACCCGCCTAACGCTTCCCTCTTTTTCTTCCCACCGGCTGTTCCCCTCTCGTGACAGCGATGCCAAGTGAATACAGCTGTGTGAAACCCAGAAGCGACTGCTCCAGGCCTCCTCTGCAATGGTGCCCTCGAGCCCAGAGCAAGATGAGAAGACCCAGCTTGTTGTTAAAAGACATCCTCAAGTGAGTACCCCCGGGCCCCTGGATGTGGGTCAGCGGTGCAGAACGGTTGGAGGAGCGCCCCTGGCCAACGGACCACTGAGAGGCGGGGCTGAGGAAGGCCTCGGGGCACAGGTGGAAGGGTTTAGGCTGGCTTCAGTAGGAGTGCAGTGCCCGGAGACGCTCTGACTGGGCCCTGCTCTTTGTGCCATTGTTTTAACAAAAGAGGGCTTTTCCCCTGGAGCTATCTTAAGTTAATCTAAAGGATGGTTAATTACAGTTCCCCAAAGGCACTTGAATACCATTACATCTTGAGGCCTAAAAGGACAAGTATTGCAGCCGGGTCACGCCGGGGAGTTAACACAGGAGGGGCTTGGCAGGTTTCCCTGGCAGCAGCCAAACCCAGCTGAACGTCGCTCCTCCCTGTCCTGGGCAGAAAGAAGCTGGGAATCCCACCGTGAGACCCGGCCCCCCGTCTCTCCATTAACTCAGGAGCGGTGGAAGGGGAAGGGTTGAGAACAGGAAAGCCATAGGGAGGAAGACGAACTCGTTAAGCACACGCAGCTTCCTTTTAGAACTCAGCCAGTGTTTCCTGAGCCTGCGCTGCGGCGCTGGGCGCATGGCTGCACACACACAGATGCAGTGCCGAGCTCCTTGCGATGTGGGTGGGGCTGGCCCAGAAGTTACAGCACGTGTGGTCAATGCTACGGAGATGGCCTTGCTTCTATTTCATCTCTTTCTGTTTCTTTGTTAATAATCAGAATAAGTTTAGGGGTCCCGCTTACCATTCCAGGATGTTCCTTGAGTGCTTGAAACCTTACTACCAAGCGCACTAGATACTGGGGTCTTTTCTTATTCTTTAAAGTTTTATTTCTTTGTTTGAAAAGGCAGAGTGGCAGAAAGAGATGGAGAGGGACAGAGAGATCTTCCAGTCACAGAGGCACTCTCCAGATGCCCACAACAGCTAGGGCTAGACCAAGGCGAAGCCAGGAGCCTGGAGCCCCCGCTGAGGCTCCCACAGCAGTGGCAGGGCCTGAAGCACTTGGGCCACCCTCTGCTGCCTTCCCAGGCGCGTTAGGGAGCTGGACCGGAAGGAGAGCAGCTGGAACTATCTGGAGCTCCGGCGTGGGATGCCAGTGTCACAGGTGGTGGCATAACCCACTATGCCCCAAGGCCAGCTCCTACTAGGATTTTTTCTATAAACTCCTTTGATAAACCTTAATATATAAAATAGGCACAGTGGTAGCTGAAGAACAGCAACTAATGATAACAGCCATGATAACAACACACTGTGATGAAAGTTATTTCAAGCGTAGCAGTTTTTTTTTTTCTAGCATCTTTCAGCTAATATTTTTGGACTGTAGTTGGCCACAGGTAAATGAAACTGTGGAAGGTGAAACCACAGATGGGGAGGTCTGTCGTGTTACACGCACTGCGCGCAGCACCCCTCTGAGTGTCGGAGAGAGGAATGGGTGTGCTCGCAAGGTTAGGAGTCAGCCCCTCGCCCCTGTCCCCACGTGAGATGCCCATTGCTGCTCTCCCCACTCCAGCCAGCCTGCATGTTCACACAAACGAGGCATCCTGCTCACTTCACCGTGTATTCAGTCCCTGGGAAGGTTAAGATACTTGTTCAGGTTTTCACAGCAAGCTAAAACGAGAAGTCAGAAGTCTTGAAAACACCCCCATCATGCTTCCTTGCGTCTGCACCTCCGAATCCTCAGAGATATTTAGCACCTGTGATGCTTAGTAAACGGCGCAGCTTCTGCCTTCCAAAAGCTGACCATTTCTCTAGAGACTAGGTTATGTTACCTTCATCATTATTCAGTTTTTTAAAGCTATTTGTTTATCTACTTGGAAGGTAGAGTTACAGAGAGAGGGAGAAACAGGGATCACCATCTGCCACTGCTTCGCTCCCCAAGTGACCTCTACGGCCAGGACTGGGCCAGGCTGAAGCCAGGTGCCTGGAGCTCCATCTGGGACTCCCATGTTGGGGGGGTGGTGCAGGGGCCCAAATACTTGGGCCATCTTCGGCTGCTTTCCCACATGCATTAGCAAGGAGCTGGATCAGAAGTGAACTCGAGGGGCCGGCACTGTGGCATAGTGGGTTAAGCCTCCGTCTGCAGTGGCAGCATCCCATATGGGCACTGGTTCAAGTCCTGGCTGCTCCACTGCTGATCCAGCTAAAGCAGCGGAAATCCTCGGGTCCATGCACCCATGTGGGAGACCTGGAAGAAGCTCCTGGCTTCTAGCTTCGGATCAGCTCAGCTCTGGCCATTGAGGCCATTGGGGGCATGAACCAGCGGATGGAAGATCTCTCTGATTCTCTCTCTTTCTGTAACTGCCTTTCAAATAAATAAATAAATAAATTGAACTCAAAGTGGCATCCGTATGAGATGGCAGAGTCACACAGGTGGTGGCTTAACCAGCTGCAACACAGCACTGGCCCTTGTTTGTTTTTAAGAACATGAATTATTTTAAGCAGGTTCTCTTAAACTTTGTTTTTTTTGTTTTTTTTTTTAACCTTGTTTTTGTTTCTTGGTGTGACTGGAGAGCTTGTGGGAAGTGAGATGTGTAGAACCAAGACTAGACAGAGTTTTTTCTCTAGATCCAGTGTCAGTGTGGACGTATCCGATCTTCAAAACCAGTGTTCGTAGATGGAGTTAAGGGTCCGTAGTGGGCTGTCTCGTCAGCCTCATGTCCGGGTAGGCTTCTTAAGCATTATCATCAGATTATCTCTTTCGTGTTTTTATTTTTCTTAAAAAAAATAAAGGACTGAAAGTGTTTTTTAGAAGCAAAAAAATTGAAGCTGAGATTCTGTAGTTCAGATGCCTTGATTTTTTCTCAGTCCAGTAATCTGGACTGAAATGGCTCCGATTTTATTATGACGCCCTCGCCGAAAGCAGAGGTTGTTTGTGCACTCGCCTGCGCCAGCACAGACGGTCCTGCTGGCCAGCTCATCTTGTGGGGAAGGTAGGAAATGACACTTCCCTCACCCCGGGTCGGCCCATGCGGCGTGGCAGGCGGGCGCCGTGGGGGTGCGGCTTTCCCCTGGGTCGTGTTCTGCCTGCTGGTTTTCACATGACTGCCTTGTTTCACCTCGTTGATCGTCTTTTTCCAGATGCACACTGCTCGTGTTTGGCGTGTGGATCCTTTACATCCTCAAGTTAAATTACACCACCGAAGAATGTGACACGAGAAAGATGCATTATGTGGACCCTGACCGCGTGAAGGTTAGAACGGCCATTGGCGTGGCATCAGTGAACGCGTCCCCAGTATACACACAGGCCGTACTGGTGTGCCCTGGGTGTGCACACAGGCTGTACAGGCATGCCTCGCATGTACACACAGGCTGAGCCCCTGTGTCCGGTGTGCACATCCAGGCTGTACCGACATGCTCTATCTGTACACACAAGCTGTACAGGCATGCCTCACATGTACACACAGGCTATACCCCATGTGTAGATGCACATTGTACAAGCATGCCCCATGTGTACATGCGGGCTGTACAAGCATGCCTCATGTGTACACACAGGCTGTACTGGTATGCCCATGTGTTACACAGGAAGGTTGCTGAAACTGTGTAAGCACCACATCTCAACACTCCTAAATCAAAACCAAACACAGCCCTACCCCTCCCTGCAAAAACCCACCCGGCTGACCTGCTGACCCTTCCCATAGAAGGGTCATAGGAGTCTCCTCCTGTGGTGCGGCGGCCAGGGCGTGGGCTGGAGAGGGTTCTGCCCCACAGAGTTCATTTTCCCTGATGCCGTCTCTGTGTGTGTGTGTGTGTTCTTAAAACAGTCAAGGAAGAAATTCTTTTAGTATCACCTGTCATGTCTGTTTTATTTTGGGTTTGAATTTCAGGTTGCATTTTCAGATTGTCTTCCCCAGTTGTATTTGTTTCTCTATTGACATCTTAAATAGAGATCGCACTGATGACTGTGGTGGTTACGTTGTCCAATAATGTTCAGCCCAGGATGGAAGAAGAGGTGATTTTAAGTAAGATAGCGAGGTAGAAATGATTGACACATGTGGATGCTTGCCATGTATTATCTCATTAATCACTGTCGTGACTGTGGGACATCCCAGGGTCATCTCCATCTCATGGGTTAAACTTCTTGTCATGTCCACATCAAATTTGGTTAACGGATTTAGTCAATCCGGTTTAGTGCCTACTGTGTGCCAAGAGCTGTTCTCAAAAAGCATTAGCAATATCAACTCATTTAGCTCTCTCTTAAAAAAAAATGTCTATTTGTTTGAAAGGCAGATTGACAGGAGGAGAGAGAAACATCTTCCATCTGCTGGTTCATTCCACAAATGCCAAGCCAAAGCCAGGATCCAGGAACTCAACCCAGGTCTCCCGCATGGGTGTCAGGGGCCCAGACGCCTGGGCCACCTTGCGCTGCTTTCCCAGGGGCATTAGCAGGGAGCTGGACCAGAGCAGAGCAGCGGTAATTTGAATCAGCACTCCAATGTGGGACAGCAGCGTCGCAGACTGGGCCTTACCCTGCTGTACCCCAACACCAGACCTCCCTTAGCTCTCCGAGCTGTGCCGGGGCTGCGGGGGCTCTGACCCTTCCCTTCTCACCGCTGAAGACACTGAGCGGTGCAGCCCGGGCGTGCACTCAGTGCCATGGTGTCATAGTCTGGGCTCCTGGCGCTCTGCTCCGCCTAGGCAGGCAGTTCCACAGGGAAGCCGGAAGTTGAAGCCACACAGTACAGCAAGAAGAGAACTCCACACTTGCACCCAGATCCTGATTGTCGCTGGGTGGCGGCGAGACCCTGGGCCAGTCCCCTCTGTTGTTTTGAGCCCCAGTTTCAGCTGTGAAGTGTAGACAGAGGCATCGTGCGAGAGGTTGTTCCTAAAAATCGGATAAGATCACTTGGAGAGCTCCTTGCTGATTCTGATGCAGTCTTTCTGCTTTAATCCCTGTGGTGTTGGGGGGACCCAGACAGCTGGAAACAGGGAATGAGCAGTAAATGCAGAGCTTGGTCACGAGTGCACAGCCTGGTGCCTGCAGAACCACTGGCCTCAGAGGCCTTGCTGAGCCCTCTCCTCGGAGCTTGTGAACTCGTTTCATTTCATTGCCATTGACACATCTGCCTGTGTCCCATGTCCTCCGCCCGGGTTTCTTCTCCTCCTGACCGGTGTGGTGCTGCACACGTGCCCCGGCTCCCAGGGCTCTCAGGGCTCTCTCGGATGAAGTCTGCAGACCGCCTGCGTGTCTTTTGTCTCCTGGGAGAGGCGGAACACGGTGGCACTCAGGGTGACCTACCTGCTGATGCGCTGAGAACTCCTCGCGTCGTGTCTGTGCTGTGCTTCTCTGTTCTCTTTACGCGTCCTCGTCTCCCTGTGCTTTCAGTACTGCGCTGGCCGTCCGACCAACTGCACGTGACGGCTCCGCAGTCTGGCGAATGAGGGAGGGAGGCGAGCTCTCCTATGCAAGGGCTGAGCACACCATCTCACCAGCATGGAAAGAGAAGTGTTTCAATGACTCCTGGCTGAAGCCAACTCAGCAGTTCCTGTGCCCTTACTCACTGCAGTCCGTCTGTGTTGACAGACAAGGGATGGTCTGCTTGCCCCTGCCATGGTTAGACAAGTGCTCTGGTTATTTTGGCCGTTATACCCTTTTGTTTAAAAAAATTACTTATTTGCAAGGCAGAGTTACAGAAAAACAGAGATCTTCCTCCACTTGTTCACTCCTCAAATGGGCACAAGAGCTTGGGCAGGGCCAGGCTGAAGCCAGGAGCCTGGAATTCCATCTGGCTCTTCTGCGTGGGTGGCAGGGCCCCCACCACGTGCGTCATCTGCTGCTGCTTTCCCAGATGCATTAGGAGGGAGCTGGATCGGAAGTGGAGCAGCTAAGATTCGAACCTGTTCTCATAGGGGAGGCAGGCAGGCAGGAGGAGCTTGACTGGCTATGCCCCAGTGCCAGCCCGGCCATTATACTCTTTAAGCTTTCCCCCAAGGAATCCTAGCGACTTCTGAAAATGACCAGAGAGGAGACTCAAGACCACATCCTCAAGAAACCATAAAGGACAGGAGCAGCCATGTCGTCAGAGGATAGAGGACGAGCCCCAGGGCGGGTGGTGGCCAATGTCAGCAAGTCAGAGGCCCCGCCAAGCAACGCGGGGCCCCGTCCAGAGGGCCTTAATGGCAAAGACGTGCATCCAGGAGGCAGCCAAGCCCGAGGGAGAGGGCTTTGATGGTTGGAAGGGTGTTAAGGGTGGACGAGCAAGCTGCCTCTGTGTTGTCCCCAGGAGGTCTTCAGGGGCTCAGGGTCCTGTGGATAGAGTTTGGGCGCCAGCCAGCTGGTGGCTTAGCAACCTCTCGGCTCCCTTCCAACTGTGCAGTTCTGTGCCTCTCTGCAGTCTGCCAGGGCCTGGCTGGGAAATGGGAAATGTAGGCTGGTTTCATAAACAGTTTCATAACCTGGGGCTTTCCCTGTTCTGAATTCTGGGTGGAGCTGTCTCAGCTCGAAGGCTCCGAAGGACACCTGCTCACCAGGCCCCCGTGGTACTCTGCGCTCCTCTGACACTCGCGAGGCTGCAGCTGGTGGGATAAGAAGTTATGTAATCTTCTCGTCGTTCCATCTAAAGTATTGCTTGAGAGCAGGGACTGTGTTTATAAAATATATATATATATATATATATATGCAGGAATCCCTGGGATTCCGCGAAAAGAAATAGTGAGCCACAGATGCCCTTGGGAATCCTCGGCTGTCGCCTCTCACCCTCTGCCACCCCTCTCCAGCCTGTCTGTGGCCAGGCAGGCGCCACTGCGGCCATGGTATTGTTTCGGAACAACGAGTGTGATTGGCTTCCCTGCTTAAAACTCTGCTTTCCCTCCAGCGCCCTCGGGAGAACACCCCACTCCCTCGTCGGGCCTCAGCCTCTGGTTCCTCCCCATCTCTCCAGCCTCCTTTGGCCACCCATGTTGTCCCAGCACTGCCTGCTCCAGGCACGCTGATGCCCCCACACAGGTCCTCGGTGGCGCCTCCTTCCTTCAGGGCTTATCTTTCAAGATACAGGTCTCCCACCACAAAGCTCAGCCACTTGAGGCCGTGGTGTGATGGTGTCGGTGCCCTCACAGAGCTGAGCCACGTCGCTGTGATCTGAATTTAGAAATGTTTTCATCACCCCCAGAAGAAACCCCTTACTGCTGGTGCTCGGTCCCTATCCCTTCTCCAAGTCCTAGGCAGCCACAAATCCACTTTCTGTCTGTGGGTTTACTGGCTCTGGACAGAATTCCTACAAACAGAGCCATATTGTACAGGGGCATTTCTTCACGTGGCACAGAAGTTTCAGCCATGTTGTAGCACAACTTAGTACTTTTTATTCCTTTTTTTTTTTTTTTTTTTTTTTTAGATTTATTTATTTACTTGAGAGACAGAGTTACAGACAGAGAGGGAGACAAAGAGAGAGGTCTTCTATCCACTGGTTCACTCCCCAGATAGCTGCAACAGCTGGAACTGGGATGATCCAAAGCCAAGAACCTCCTTCGGGTCTCCCACACAGGCACAGGGGCACAAGCATTTAGGCCAACTTCTGCTGCTTTCCCAGGCCATAGCAGAGAGCTGGATCAGAAACGGAGCAGCCGGGACTCGAACTGATGCCCATATGGGATGCTGGCACTGCAGGTAGATGTTTAACCTTCTATGCCACAGTGCTGGGCCCATACCTACTCCTTTTTTTTTTTCTATTTATTTACCTATTTTTTTTAGCTATTTATTTCAGAGGTAGAGTTATAGACAATGAGAGGGAGAGCCAGGGAGAAAGGTCTTTCATCTGCTGGTTCACTCCCCAAATGGCCACATCGGCTGGACCTAAGCCGATCTGACGCCAGGAGCCAGGCGCTTCTTCTGGGTCTCTCATGGGGGTGCAGGGGCCCAAGGACTTGGGCCATTTTCCACTGCTTTCCCAGGCCATAGCAGAGAGCTGGATTGGAAAAACAGCAGGCTGGACTAGAACTGGCACCCATATGGAATGCCAGCACTGCAGGCAGAGGATTAATCTACTACCCAACAGGTTTGGCTTCCATTCCTTCTTTTTTTTAAAAAAAGATTTACTTATTATTTGAAAGGCAGAGTTATACAGAGAAAGAGCAAGACAGACAGAGATCTTCTACCCACTGGTTCACTCCCCAAATGGCTACAATGGCCAGAGCTTGGCCAGGCTGTAGCCAGGAGCCAAGAATTCCGTGTGGGTCTCCTATGCGGGTGGCAGGGGC